TTTCTGAAAAAAAAAAAAAGAAAGAAAGTGAATTGTGAAATCTGTGAAAGTGGTACTGGGAGGAAAGAAGGAAGAGGGCTGGGATCAAGCTGTAGAAAGATTAAATTAATAAATAAATGAAGGAAAAAAAGAAAAAGTTACAAACATGCTTGAGCAAATGTCTTTGCTTTGTACTTGAGCATAGTTTGCACATTTGCTCAACTATATTCGTAGCAGGTTTATTTATAATAGCCAGAACCTGGAAACAAACCAGATGTCCCTCAAAAGAGGAATGGATACAGAAATTGTGGTACATTTACACAATGAAATACTACTCAGCAATTAAAAACAAGGAAATCATGAAATATGCAGGCAAATGGTGGGATCTAGAAAAGATCATCCTGAGTGAGGTATACCAGGAGCAGAAAGACACACATGGTATATACTTACATATAAGTGGATAATAGATAATGTAGGATAAACACACTAAAATCTGTACACCTAAAGAAGCTAACCAAGAAGGAGGACCCTGGGTAATTTGATAAGTCCTCACTAAGAAAGACAAATGGGATGAACATTAGAAGAAAGAGAAAACAGGAAACAATACAGGAGCCTTTTAGAAGAGGGCTTCTAAAAGATTCTACCCAGCAGTGTATCAAAGCAGATGCTGAGACTCATAGCCAAACTTTGGGCAGAGTGCAGGGAATCTTTTGAAAAAAGGGATAGATAGAAAGACCTGGAAGAAACAGGAGCTCCAGAAGGAGAGGGACAGATTCAAGAAATCTAGGCCCAGGTGTCTTTTCTGAGACTCATACTCCAACCAAGGACCATACATGGATAAAACCTAGAACCCCTGCTCAGATGTAGCCCATGGTAGCTCAGTATCCAATTGTATTCCCTATTAATGGAAACAGGGACTGTCTCTGACATGAACTCAGTGGTTGGCTTTTTAATCACCACTTCCTGAGGGGAGAGCATCCTTGTCATGCCACAGAGGAGGACAATGCAGCCAGTCCTGATGAGACTTGATAGGCTAGGGTCAGATGGAAGGGGGGAAGGACTTCCCCTATCAGTGGACCTGACGAGGAGCATGGGAGGAGATGAGGGATGGATGGTGAGTTGAGAGGTGATTAGGGAGGGGGCTACAGCTGAGATACAAAGTGAATAAACTGTAATTAATATAAAAATAAAAATTTAATGATTAAAAGAAAAAGCTACAGATTGCAATGTACTTGGGTCAATCAATATTTCCAACTTTTATGTGCACGATGGAGTTCATAAAGATCCCTATATTTCTTTTGTCTTCAGGTAGAAAAACAATCTGAACTACAGAATTATAAGATGCTCCCAATTTTTTATTTGTTTAGTTCCTACACTGTATTTTACCTATTTAATTAGATATATGGTCATATAAATATATTGAGCCTTTGAATTATATCAAAGGCTATAATCTCCATATGTGTGTTAACTATTTTAGCCCACATTATAGAGCTGAAGAATCAATTTCTATCTTTGCTTTATACCATGTAATTAATGTTCTCAGGTTTTATGCCACTCTTGAATTAATTCATAGATATTATTTGCTTTTGGATACAATTTTGTGTTCCTATGAATTTTAAAATGAATTGGAGTACTCTGGATTGAATGTTATTTATTTTATTATCCACAAAAAACACATTAATGAAAACCTGCAATAAAGATGAGTCAGCAGTTCCATAAAATATCTTATAATGTGCAATATTAGTTACTACCTAATGGAATTTTAAATTTCTGAGGGGTCACAGGCTTTGACACTTTTCTCATTTACTGAGTCTTTATATAAATTATGCTTTTGTTTCATAAACCCAATTAAGATAATGTCTTATGAAACAAGCATTAGTTTCCAGTGTCTCTACTATCATTCAGAGAAAACAATGAAATTTCTCATGCATAAAATATATAAGTAAATATGACTTACCAAAAATTAGTAAGCATTAATAGTTATATTTTACTCTTCATGGTGCTAAAAGAAGTTTAAATTTATATCACAATTCTAATAATTAATTGTCTTTTACTTAAGGAAAATGAGTAAATTGAAGCTAGCATAAACTGAAACTGGGAAACGAAAAATTTCTTAATGATAAATCATGTTAGACAAGTGAACAGATTCCTCCAGGAGATGTGTTGGGAATATGTCACTTTCATTTTTCAACAATATAAAAGCATTCAACTGCACATATAGAAAGAGTCAAGGCACCCTGGCAAGAAGATGTCAACTGAAAGACTCCAAAGGTCATTTCCATGATGAGTTAAGTTGCTTCCCTGTAGTGACCATAACTTTGCGTTGGCATTTAGTACTTATTTTATCCCCCTCTTATTGCTTTCATATATACAAACCACATACATGGATATATTTATGAGTACATTGTATTTCAATGTCTTTTATCTTTCTTTCAGAAAAAAAAATGAGGCATATATCGCTTTAAAAGTAAAGCAGAATATACTTACCGATTTTGTGATAAGGAACAATTTTCTTTTTTAATTAAATGTTTTATTTCTAAATATTAGTTACAGTTTATTAACTTTGTATCCCAGCTGTAGCTCCTTCCCTCATTCCCTCCCAATCCTACCCTCCCTCCCTTATCTCCTCCCTGCCCCTCTCTAAGTCCACTGATTGGAGAGATGCTCCTCCCCTTCCATCTGACTCTAGAATATCAGTTCTCTTCAGGAGTGGCTGCAATGTCCTCCTCTTTGTCCTAGCAAGGCTGCTCCTCCCTCTCGGTGTGTGTGTGTGTGGGGGGGGTGAGGTCAAAGAGTCAGCCATTGAGTTCATGTCTGAAACAGTCCCTGTTCCTCTTACTAGGGTACCCACTTGGATACTGAGCTACCATGGGTCACATCTAAGCAGGAGTTCTAAGTTATATCCATGCATGGTCCTTGGTTGGATCAGTCTCAGAAAAGACCCCTGGGCCCAGATATATTTGGTCCTTGTGGAGTTCCTGTTCTCTCCAGGTCATACTGACATCCCCTTCTTTCATATGATTCCCTGTACTCTGCCCAAGGATTGGTTATGAGTCTCAACATCAGCTTTAGTACACTGCTAGGTAGAGTCTTTCAGAGGCCCTCTATGGCAGACTCCTGTCCTGTTACTTGTTTTCTCCTACTTCTAATGTCTATACCATTTGTCTTTCTAAGTGAAGATTGATCATCTTACCCTGGGTCTTCTTTCTTGTTTATCTTCTTTAGGTGTACAGATTTTAGTAAGTTTACCTATCTTATAAGTCTAGTACCCACTTATAAGTAAGTATATACCATGTGTTTCTTTCTGCTCCTGGGATACCTTACTCAGGATGATCTTTTCTAGATCCCACCATTTCCCTACAAGTTTCATGATTTCCTTGTTTTTAATTGCTGAGTAGTATACCTATTTGTTAAAAGTACCACAATTTCTGTATCTATTCCTCCTTTGAGGGACATCTGGTTCATTTCCAAGTTCTGGGTATTATGAATAAAGCTGCTATTAACATGGTTGAGCAAATGTCCCGTTGTGTACTTGAGCAAATTTTGGATATATACCTAGGAGTGGTATAACTGGATCTTGAGGAAGCACTATTCCTACTATTCTGATAAAAAGCCAGATTGATTCCCAAAATGGTTGTAATAGTTTACATTCCCACCCGCAATGGAGGAGGCTTCTCCCTTTTCCACATCCTCTCCAGCATGTGTTGTCACTTGAGTTTTTAATCTTAGCCATTCTGATGGGTGTAAGGTGAAATCTCAGGATCATTTTGATTTGCATTTCCTTGATGGCTAAGGATGTTGTGCATTTCTTTAAGTGTTTTTCTGCATTCTATATTCCTCTACAGAAAATTCTCTGTTAAGCTTCATTTTTTAATTGGAATGCTTGATTTGTTGCTTTTTAACTTCTTTAGGAACAGACAAATTTCAAGGTCTAATTTTACAGCATGAATTTGAGGTACAGCTGAAGAAGTGGCCTAAGCTGTGGCAATAGCAATCTTTGTAATCTTATAGCCTCTGTATTTTCACAGTAATAAATACATAAGAGAATTGTTTGGTAAAATTGGGAAAGGCAAGGGTATTTATGCTGGAAGAACCAAAATTGGCACCTGTAAAAGAGTTGTAAGGCAAAATGTAATCAAATATTCATATAACTATAATATTCATCATAGCATTTATCCTTCCTGAATGCTAAAACACATTTCTAACATCATTGTAGGAAAGTCATACTGACACCCATATGTGCAGGCACACTCATATACACAGCTAATAAGCTAGAAGACAGTATGCAATAAAGAACTATAACACACAAAATCAAAAGCAACAATAATTATCATGGGTGATTTTCATAGTGCTATTTTTGTTTCATTTTCACATATTGATAGTTTAACTTACTATTCTCTATTTCTTACCATATTTATAAGACTCCTTAAGCCGGCTTCTCAAATTGAACATTAAGCATTGAACATAATTAAAAGGAATAACAATTAGTAAATAAAATGTCTTTTCACATAAACAAGGATACTTGACAATTCTCTTTTTATAAATAATGTCCAGAAATAATTTTGGACAAAAGATAATGTCTCATCAAACAAGAACAAAAATAGAAACACAAATAAGAATTTTAAAAGAGAGAAAACAGATCATGCCTCCATGACTTTTAAACCCTGTTTGTAATGGTTTGTCTTTCCAGCTGGTCTGCCACACAGTTGATTTAGGAAATGTCTTTCATGTCCAACTGTTACTGTGCCAAAAGTAGCTCCACATTTAGCTACAAAGATATATACAGATATATCCTTCCCTCCTCTCCCTTGTTGTTTGCCTTCCTCTCTCCTTTGCCTAGCAACTGTTGATTTCACTAATAGAACTATGAGTGTAGAACAAAGCAGTTGGTTCCTGCCTTCATTCCAGTTGACAAATCTGAGACAGAAGGAAGAATCACTTCTCCAGACTAGTCAACTGGTGTGGGTGTTCAGCTGATTTGATCTACCACCTCATGAAATTGAGCTTCATCCTATTTCTACATGGCTTGTATTGAAAATGGGTAAGTATAAAACTGAGTATAACTTAGTTTAAATTTGGAAGCAAAAGAGCATTTGAATGTTATTACTATGTTACTAGGGCAGGGACAAAAGAATTGAAAGTGGTATTGGTGGTGCTCACAAGCAAAAGTTAAAGAATGGAATTGTATATAAGTGTATTGATTTTAAGCATATAAAACATTAATGATTTTAAATGTTAGTTTGAAATGAAAGTTACAAAGCCCTAAACATTAGGGCAAAATCATGAGGAAATTATTACTCTCAGATTTTGATATACGATAAAAGAAAAGAAAAAAAAGTTTTTAATACAATTGACTTTGAATATATGATGTATCATGAAGAAAAAAATCAGAATATTTAAAGATAATGACTAAACTTTTTTTTTTCTTCTGTGAAAGAAAGCAATGTGGTTTGCTTGCTCCCAAAACCCTAGAGATTTCTCATAACATTCCTGCCAGAATCTGTCTTCTGGGCTGAGGGGGTTATAGATCTTACAAAGATTTGAAAGAGCTGTTTTCTTTCAACTATGAAGTCAACCAGGCCATTTAGGCATATTTTTACTACCATTGACTGATAAGGAATTGAACAGGTACATAGGACAGCCATTATGAGAGATCATGTACTAAAGTGTCTTCTGTGTGTGTATGAGTGGGAGGATATCAGTAGGCTAAGAAAGTGTTTACTTGACTATATGAGGAAAAATGTTGGTACTCCTTTATTTCCTATATTCTAGGTATTCAATCAAGTGCTTGAAATATTTGCTGGGTAATGTATTTCCACTTTAATTAAAATTCTGTTTCTGTTTTTTGCAAGGCTTGGAAGGCATAGCCATTCATTCATAATGGTACCTGTGGACAAAAATACAAGCAGGGGGATATGCCACAATGTGCAGCTCTGGTGTCTGAATTCCATGCTAAATGATGATGAGGATGATGCAGAGACCTGGGCCTGCCCGCCTGTCTTCTTGAAACCTCCCTTCATGGTGCCAAGATCAGGAGCCAGCATTCCTGAAAATCCAAGAGCTCTGACACACCCTTTTACTCTAACACCTGCTATTAAGGCAGAGTCCTTAGCAACAACAGAAGTAAACATCTCAGAGGGCCTTGAAGGCCAGAGCCAGAAGGCAAATGATTCTATTAATAAGTCTCGGGAATTTTGTGAAAGCAGTGAGGCACTGATAATCAGAGGCCCAAGAGTTGGTAGTGGGGTTCTTGAGAGAAGTGGCAGTAACTCAAAACCTGTTCCTAGAGCCCAAGGGTTCTTTTCACCAAGGGGCTTCCAGTCAGGACGCCCTCCATATATACCCACACTTAGATCAGGGATAATGATGGAGAGGACTCCAGGAAATGCTAGAATGGCATACAAGGGCAACCTGGTTCCAGTTTATTCCTCACTGGGAAGCCAAAGGCACCCTATGGCTAACTGGCAGCAGAGACCTCTTTTTTTGTCAAGCAGTATTCTAGACTTACCTTGCTCTGCTGCTCATTGCATCCTGCCTCCTCAAGCTCCAGCGTTCAATCCATTTCCCATGATGCCTACAGCTTTTGCTTTTCCCTTGAGATTTGCTCCTCCCCTGTTGCCTTATTTTTTACATTACAACACCCGAGCAATGTATCCTCCTCATCCATACTTAAATTAGAGAGCTTGTGCAGAGAAAAGGGAAAAGAAAAGGGTTGGAGAAAGAGCTGAAAGTTACTCATTTTTTTTCTTCATACATAAAATTTCTTGCTCTCTTACATTTTGCTTAGCACTAATGTGCCTTATGTGTTTAGAAATCTAATAAATATTCCAAACTTTTAAATGTTCTGTTTTTTAGTTTTTAACTAAAACCTTGGCCTTTGTTTTCTCTATTTCAAGTAATTAGTGTACGTATGTACCAATGATCCTATATAGCTCACTTGAATCATTATCACTGTTTGCCACTGACTGGTGCTGTAATGTGACTGTGGAAAGGAGCAACTGGGACCTTGTTAGGCCAGGTTTAGACTCTGGAATTTCTACATGCCTAAAGCGAGGATGGTTGATTTATGGTAAGTTTTACAGAGGCAGACAAGAATCTACAAAATCATGAAATGTGCACAAACAACAGAATGAGTCATGTGGGAAAATGTATTGATAATATCCAATTCAAATCCATCTCTGTCGGGACAGAGAAAATATTTTATATATAGATAAAAGATGAATCAGGCTAAATGATCAGGAAATTGGGGATGAGGAATTCCTAATTCAGAGATTCTGCTTGAATAAGGATTCCTCATTCAATTTTTTTTTCACTTTTGCGAAAATCATTGCCTGATAGACAAAATTTTGTACAGAAAACTGTGGAGAGCTAGCACAAGTTTTTTCATAAAGTACTATTGCGTGATCATAAGTTTTTCTTTAAAACTTAATTATTTATATAATTATTTATTTAATTTATTCATTTTGTATGCCCACTTCCCTTGTCACCTCCCAGACACTCCCACCCTCTCTCTTATCTCCCTACACCCTTTCCCTAGTCCCCTGATAGAAGAGGACCTCCACCTCTTCTAACTGACACTAATTAATTAGGTATCATCAAGGCTGTCTGCATCATCTTCCTCTGTGGCCTGGCAGTACTGCACCCACCAGGGGGAGATAATCAAAGAACCAGCCACTGAGTTCATGTCAGAGACAGACCCTGTACCCTAGGAAACCCAAGTGGAAACTGGGCAGCTAACGGGCTGTCTTTGAACAGGGCGTCTAGGTCCTCTCTGTGCATGGTCCTTAGATGGAGTGTTGGTCCCTGCAGGGAAACCTGGTTCCAAGTATTTTCGTTCTTTTGTTCTCCTTGTGGGGTTCCTGTCCCCTCCAGGTCTTTTTGTCTCCCTCTTCTACCATGAGGATTCCAGCACTCTGCCCAAACTTCGTCTCAGTATCTCCTTCGATACCCTTGTGGGAAGTCTTTAAGAGGGCCTCTTTGGAAGGCTCTTGTCCTGTTCCTTGTTTTCTCCTACTTTGGATGTCCATCCTGTTTGCCATTCTGAATGATTATTACACATTTTCTCTGGGGTCCTCCTTGTTGTCTAGCCTCTTTAGGGATATAGATTTTAGTATGTTTAAACTATATTATATGGCTAATATCACCTAATAAGTGAGCATATACCATGTGTGTCTTTCTGTTTCTGAGTTACCTCACTCAGGATGATCTTTTCTAGTCCCCACCATTTGCCTACATATTTCATGGTTTCCTTGTTTTTAATTGCTGAGTAGTAGTCCATTCTGTAAAAGTATCACAATTTCTGTATCCATTCCTCCGTTCAGGGACATCTAGATTGTTTCCAGATTGTGAATATTATGAATAAAGCTGCTACGAACATGGTTGAGCAAATGTTCTCACTGAATTGTGGGGCATCTTTTGGGTATAAGCCTAGAAGTGGAAAAGCTGGGTTGTGAGGTACTACTATTCCGAATTTACTGAGGAAGTGCCAGATTGATTTCCAAAGTTTTTGTACAAAGTTACATTCCCATGAGCAATGGAAGAGGGTTTCCCTTTCTCCACATCCTCTCCAGAATGCATCATCCCTTGAGTTTTTTAACTTAGCCATTTTAATGGGTGTGAGATGAAATATCAGGGTTGTTTTGATTTACATTACCAGGATGACTAAGGATGTTGAATATTTCTTTAAATGTTTCTCTGCTATTCAATATTAGTCTATTGAGAATTCTCTGTTTAGCTCTGTACCCCATTTTATAATTGGATTGCTTGGTTTGTTGGTGTTTAACTTCTGCAGTTCTTTATATATTCTGGATATTAGCACTGTCAGGTAGAGGGTTGGTGAAGACCTTTTCCCAGTGTGTATGCTGTCATTTTGTTCTTATAACAGTGTCGTTTGCTCTACAGAAACTTTTCAGTTTTTTGAGTTCCCATTTATTAATTGTTCATCTTAGAACCTGTGCTGTTGGTGTTCTGTTCAGGAAGTTGTCTCCTGTGCCAATGAGTTCAAAGCTCTTCCCCACATTTTTTTTTTCTAACAGAATTAATGTTTATTTTGAGGTCTTTGATCCACCTGGGATTTAACTTTGTGTAGGGTGGTAAATAGGATTTATTTGCATTTTTCTACATATCGACATACACTTAGACCTGCACCATTTTTTAAAGATCCTGTCTTTTTTCCATTGTGTGATTTTGTTTTCTTTGACAAATATTACATTTCAATTGGTGTGAGGTTTATTTCTGTGACTTCAATCTGATTCCACTGGTGCACAATTCTGTTTCTATGCCAGGACCATGGATTTTTTATTACTGTTGCTCTATAGTACAACTTGAGATCTGGAATTTAGATACCTCTAGAAGATATTTTATTGTACAGGATTTTTTTCAGCAATTCTGGGTTTTTTGTTTTTCTTTTTGATATTGAGACTTGTTCTTTCAAGGTCTGTAAAAAATTGTGTTGTTAATTTGATGGAACTTGCATTGAATCTGTAGGTTGTTTTTTGTAGGATAGCCATTTTGACTATATTAATCCTACTGATCCATGAACATGGAATATTTTTGCATTTTCTGCTACCTTTTTCTATTTTGTTCTTCAAAGACTTGAAGTTGTTTTTTTTTTTTTTTTTTTTATACAGATCTTTCACCTACTTGTTTAGGGGTATACCAATGAACTTTACATTATTAGTGGCTATTTTGAAGGGTGTTGTTTCTCTAATTTCTTCCTTAGATCTTTTGTCTTTCATGTACAGGAGGGCTTCAGATTTTTTTTTTTGAGGTAATTTTGTATCCAGCCACTTTGCTTAAGGTGTTTATCAGCTGAAGGAGTTCTCTCGTAGAATTTTTGGCGTCCCTCATGTATACTATCATACCACCTGTGAATACTAATGCTTTAAATTCATTCTTTCCTATTTATATCCCTTTGATCTCCTTTAGTTATATTATTGCTTTAGATAGGACTTCAATAACTATGTTAAAGTGATAAGGACAGAGTGGGCAGCATTGCCTTGTCCCTTATTTCAGTGGAATTGACTTAAATTTCTCCCCACTGAGTTTGATGTTGTCTATAGGCTTGCTGTATATTGCCTTTAGTATGTTTAGGTATGTGCCTTGTATCCTTGATCTCTCCAAAACTTTAAATTTGAAACGGTGTTGAATTTTGTCAAATGCTTTTTTTTGGCATCTATGGAGATGATCGTGTGTGTGTGTGTGTGTTTTCAGTTTGTTTATATGGTGGATTACATTGATGGATTTTTGTATGTGGAACCACCCCTGCATGCCTGGGATCCATCCTTCTTTGTCTTGGTGGCTGATATCTTTCATGTGTTTCTGGATTCTGTTTGTGGGTATTTTAATGAGTATTTTTGCATCAATGTTCATAAGCAAAATTGTTCTGAAGTTCTCTTTCTTTGTAGGGTTTTGGTGCCTTTCATGTATCAACTTTACTGTGGCTTCATAGAATGAATTTGGTAATGTTCCTTCTGTTTTTATTTTGTGGAACAGTTTGAAGAGTATTGGAATTAGCTCCTCTCTAAAAGTCTGGTAGAATTCTGTACTAAAAACAGCTGGTCCCAAACTTTTATTTATTTATTTATTTTTGATGGGAGCCTTTGGTGAAAGCTTCTATTTCCTTAGGGGATATACAACTATTTATTTACCTGATCTTGTTTCAGCTTTGGTAAATGGAACCTATCAAGAAAACTGTCCATTTCATTTAGATTTTCCCATTTTGTTGCATATAGTCTTTTGAAGTAGGACACAATGGTTCTTTGGATTTCTGAAGTGTCTGTTGTAATGCCCCCCCCCTTTTCTTTTCTGATATTGCTGATTTGGAGAGTGTCCCTGTTTCTTTTAGTTAGTTTGGCTAGCGGTTTGTCTATTTTGTTGAATTTCTCAAAGAACCAGCCCTTGGTTTTTGTTGATTATTTGAATTGTTCTCTTTGTTTCTAATGCATTGATTTCAGACCTGAGTTTGATTACTTCCAGCCATCTACTCTTCTTTGGTTTGTCTGCTTCCGTTTTTTCTAGTGCTTTTAGGTGTGCCATTAAGTTGCTTGTATGAGATGTCTCGAATTTCTTTGTGAAGGTACTTAGTGCTATGAACTTTCCTTTTAGCACTGCTTTCATTATGTCCCATGAGTTTGGGTATGCTGTGCCTTCATTTTCATTGAATTCTAAGAAGTCTTTAATTTCTTTGTTTATTTCCTCCCTGACTCAGGTGTCATTGAGTAGGGTGTTGTTCAGTTTCCATGTGTGTGGAGGCTTTTTGTTAGTTCTGTTATTGTTGAGGTCTAGTTTTAGAACATAGTAGTCTGATATGATACAAAGGGTTATTTCAATCTTCTTGTATCTGTTGAGGCTTCCTTTGAGCCCAACTTTGTGGTCAGTTTTGGAGAAGGTTCCATTATGTGCTGAGGTGTTTGGGTGAAAGTTCTGTAGACATTTATTAGGTCTATATGATTTAAGACCTGTGTAAGTGTCATTATTTTTCTGTTTAGCATCTTTCTCACTGATCTGTCCCTTGGAAAGAATGAGGTGTTGAGGTCTCCCACTTATTTAGGTCATGGGATCAGTCTGTGATTTTGGCTTTAATAATGTTTCTTTGAAAGATACAGGAGTCCTTGTCTTTGGCGCGTAGATGTTTAGGATCGTGATGTTCTCTTGGTGGATTTTTCCTTTGATGCGAA